CCCCGAGCCCCACCGGCCGCACAGCCAGCCTGCATGCAGAGACCGCGCAGGCCTGACACACACCGACTGGCTGGGTGTGCCTACGCACACAGCACCCCTGGGTGCTGTAGGCTGCAGCCGAGCTCAGCCTGAGGCCATGCTTACACATTTACTTTTTCTATGCGAGGTGAATCCAGTCTTGCTGGTAGAGTGAAACCTGCCGTTAGCAGGCAATACAGATACATGCTTTTTTTTTCTCCACAGGCTCATTATTTCCCCAGAGCTGTGTGAGAACGTAAGTGGCTCAGGTGCCATCAGGTGCCAGCTGTGCTCAACAGAGCCACCTCTGAAACACTCCTGCCCCTGCACAGAGAGCTCTGTGAGGATGCTACCTGAATCAATCCAGCTACTAGGGCACAGATGGGCTCACATCGTTTTACTTGTACTCCCCTCTACTGCCTGCCTGTCCCGCAGTCCCACTCTCTGCGGAAAGCCATGTTTACATTTCACTCATTTTTCAGGAAATCTTTCGTAGGAATTACTGTTTGCTTCGATGTGAAAACACTATCAAGCTTCCTATGCTGTTTACATAACATCTTACTCCACTCAGGGAGCAAGAAGCAGCTTCCCAAAGGCACAAACAGGAGTGAGGTGCCCAAGTCTTTTTCAACTTTAGAGGGAGTTGGCTTCTTCACATTTAAATCTCCACTAAGTACCCTAGGAGCTAGTACAGGGGTCAACTGGGGATGACAGAAGGATAGCCTTTAACATGCAGGCTACTGGACTGTTTGATTCTCCTATTCCACAATGATTTGCACCGTGGGAATCAGAGTAGATTATATTTACTTACAGAGATGATATGTCCTTTCAAGCCATGTGCTGAGTCTGCACACTCAATAACAGCACTTAGCTGTGGATAGCCCACCCCTGTCTTAATCCGAGTGGTACACACAGAACCTAGACAAGAGAATGAAAGGAAAAAACATAGCCCATTAGGCTGACAGAAAAGATACAGCTTGTCTTCTTTTTCTTGTGGAAAAAATGTGTTTCTACCTGTTGTTTGGGTTTTTTTCCTCAAGAAGTCTCTACTGCCAATGTTGGCTTCTCATGGATAAAAGGAACAGATAGGAACTTGAGTTTTGAAATGCTATCACAGCACTTCATGGGAGCTGTAACTGAGGCGACTAATATGCCCCCTTTCTTCTCCAGGGCCACAATTCCCAGTTCAGGTCTCATCAGTAATGCTTCCCGGTGAGGGAATTACTGCATCACCAGAATGCAAATCTGACTGAGGTGCCTGAAGGGAAGGGGGACAAAAGGACCAGAGTCACAACCCGTGAGACTCAGCAGCAGCATTTAACACCTGAATATTTCTTCCAATAAATATTTCTATCTCTTTTCTACCTACATTTTTTAAAATCATTCTCAGAGAAAAATCTGTGCTTTTATTTTCCTTTTGGTCACCATTTTCCGCAAGGGAGAGAAACCCATCTTTTGCCTAATACTTAAAGCAGAAATACTTGGTTGATTGCAATAGTTGAGACTGTAAGAAAATCAGCACACGGCATTTAAAAAGTGAGATAAGTAACCATCAGAAAGCTGTATAGTGTAATATTACAGGAAATATACTAACTATATCTGATTATTAAATTATATTATTTATACACATACATGGTGCAGGTATATAAGTATATATAAAAATAAAAGTATATACATATACAGAAAAAACCTACTTCAGTTATAGTTCAAGATGGTAACATGGCTATAGATCTTTTGTAATAGCTTCTCTATTTTTCTCCCCAGATTAAAAGTCAAAATGAGGACTGCTTTTTGCCAGTCCAGGTCTTATAATTTATGATACAGACCATAAAGGTCTGCATGATAAGAAGAATTTCAAAACAAAATTCAAAACCAAATGCAGTGAAGTCTGGATCCCTTCACCCAGCTCATATCCAGGTATACTTGAGCTACCAGAAAAGTAAAAGTTTCCAAAGATCTTTCAAAGAACTGACAAGCTGAAAAAAGTGAGAAGTATTTCTGCAAAGTAGGAAGAAAATTAGTTTTAAAATAATCTCTACAGGGTATGTACTTATGTATGTAAAGCTTTATAATAAATCACTGCCATTTTCCACAGGATGGACCACTATCTGGAAAAGAGCCTCAAGATCTGATTTTCTGTGAGGAAAATTTGTTACTTGTGGGTTTGGGTGGTCAACTCGTACAGCTCTGTTCAGGAAGATCTCCAGGGAGGGCTGTACAGCATTTACTCCTAACTATTTCCACTTCTAGGCTACAAACCATAGTAATTCTTCTTTTATATCTAAGCATGCCTATGACATTTGCACCATGACATCTCTATTGTTTATTCTTCATGCATTTTGCAGTATTTATTGTTGTTTGCTGTCATCCTGGGCACAACTGCAACCTTTATTACAACATATGCTCTGCTCAAATTATCCATTCATGGACCGTAACTATTTGGCATTGTAGAATAAACAATCTGCCTGTACTGCACTGGCTGACCACAGCTATGCTGTCAGTGGCACTTGTGTTAGCCAGTTTAAAATCTAGCCCATGTATGGTGACCCCAGTTGCAGTCTAAGAAGAAAATCCCAAGAGAAAGGAGCACATGAAGAAACGCATGAGGGAGGGAAAGAAAAAAGGGAAAACAATATGGCATTACATGTCAGACAACAATATTAGGGAAGGAAAGGTAGGAAAAACACTGTAAGAATTTTAGGGTCCTCCCATTTATCCATGGGAATGTTACAGTGATAGGTAACACACATTAATGTAAGTTTTAGCTCCCAGGCAATAGTAACAAGTAGAAGCAATGTTATCCACACTTCAGACGTAATGAATGTTATTTCATCTTTGAAGACATTGACAAGATGGGCAACCTCAGCTTAACAGAACACAAATCATAAAACTATTTAGAAACCTATCTTTGACTTGCCAGGATATCTGAACATGGTATCCTTTGAGCTTTAGTTGGGATGACTCAGCCTCTCCTCAACAGGTTATGGAAAGTGTTCCTAAACACAACACCTATTACCAGTGATAATGTCAGCAACTCAGTGCTTCCAGTAATAGGCATCTTTACTGCCAGAAGATGCAATATGTAACACTTTGCAGTACGAAACACTAGCACCCTGCCCATGTCTTTTGTAAATATACTGTGTGCAAGGGCACTGTTACCTTATTGACCTGATCCTAAGGCATCCTAAGGGGCAAGCAAACAGCAATATACACTGGTTCCATCTGGACAACTCCACCAACATTACCAAAAGTCACTCGTATTTGACTGGATTTGACTTACCTGGTCCGATACCCACTTTAATAATATCTGCTCCAGAAAGAATAAGTTCTTCTACCATCTCTCCTGTCACCACATTGCCTGCCTGGACAGAAGGAACAATATCACATACATGGAAGATTTCAAGACTACTGCAGTGAAGACTAATGACGATAATGTAGAGTTTCATCCAGAGCTTTTACGAGTTGAACTATATAGAGTCAGGAAGAATATAGTTCACCATACTGTTCATTGTGCATGCCACAGAGATAAAACAAATCATACAGGTGCATTCTCAACTCAAACAAATTTCACGATTGGTCCAGTAAACCCTGATCCTTAAGATCCCATCAGGATATCTGCTTTGTCTTCCGTCCCCCTAACCCTCACCCAGAGGCTCTCAACCACATCAT